AAACGCCCCTAGGTCCTCCTCTGTCTAACTTCTCCTTGCCTCATTCTTTCTTCCTGGTCCTTGCCTTAAACCCTAAACCCTACTGTTGCTAACCTCATTCCCTTTGCTACGGCCTTTTCACCCTCTCTTGTCTCCACGAAAAAAAAGAGGCATGTAGCCCGGATAGTTGCTACTTTACCATTCCCTAGTCTTCTGCGGTCGAATCTGTCTTTCAGGTCCTGCGCTTGGTCCGGTTGCTGCCTCATCTGCCGCTGTGTTCTTTTCCACTGTGCCCAAATCTCTGTCTCCATTAGGTTTAGGAGGATCTCCCTTGCTTCCTGTTCATGCATCGGTCGTTTCCCTATTGTAACCTGACAGCGTCTTTCCAAATTGTCCATATTGTGTACTGTCTTATGAGCTGAAATAGCTGCTTCTCGAAAGCTGGCCAATCTCTGGGGTAGTTGTGTCCCAAAAGCAGGGTTTCTTTTTCTTGCGGGAAAGGCTTCTGCGTCATCAGCTTCCAGAGGGTTCTGGCTATTTCCCATAGGCTCTCATGTCAGCAGGCCATACTCCATTGTTTCGACTGAACCCTGCTGGTAAACTGAACACAAGGCGTTGGAGGGGTCCCTTCTTTCTCGACTTCTTTTTTCGTTTAGCCAAGCGTTTACCGCCAGGGCTACGTGGGCGATTAGCCACTGCAAGCTTCTGACCCGGCCAAGTCTGATCCTATTGATCGTTGTCCATGGTATTGTTGGTAATTGCTCCGGGGAGACTCCCACTCTGTTCTCCCACCGCTTCGTGAGCACGGTCTTCAGAGGGTGGTGCCGCCTTCTCAGTCGATAACCAATTCGCGTAGTGTACTTTAGTATGCTGACTCTTCTGGAGATTCTCAACCTTCCTCCTCTGAGATTCCACGCCTATTCCACCGGGTCAACCTCTAGATCTTCTATTGGAGTGGTTGGGCTAAAAATCGTGAAATCCTCCATCTCCACTACTCTTACTTTTCGTACGTGTTGCTCTTGGATGGTGACCGGAATCTTGGGGTCCTGGTCCAAGAGACTGGTGGTGCTTCCTGGGTTCGTGATGTTGTACATGTCTGCTGAACCTCGGAAGGCTTCCATGGCTCTTGTTAACACTTGGAAGGAGGAATCCGATGCTCTGATCAGCACCATCAGGTCATCCGCAAACATCAACGTGGTAGGGAGCTGCACTTGCCTACCCTGCTGATCCGGTGTCGTAATCAAACGCTGTATCGAGGGATCCTTCCTCAAGAAAGAGGCGACGGCCTCCATGATGAACAAGAAGATGGGAGCTGCTAGTGGATCCCCCTGTCTGACCGAGCGCAGCATCCTGTACATTGCTGAGATGGCCGTTGAATTGGACTTGTCCATGAGCATCATTGTATAGAACTCTGATCCACTTTTGGAAGTTGGGTCCTACCCCCATCCTCTCCATACACTGTTGAAGGAAATCCCAATTCACTTGATCGTAGGCCTTTTCAAAATCGAAGAAGAGGATTGATGCGTTTATTCTTTTATCCTTAATATATCGTACTGACTCTGACAATGTCATGACATTGTCCAAGATAAATCTTCCAGGTATGAAGCCAGTTTGATCCAAATGGAAGCATCCTGCGGTCACTCGTCTAAGCCTATTAGCTAAAGGTTAGAAGGGTTATCGGTCTATAGTTCCGTATGTCCTTCGGATCTCTTTTTTAATAGAGGAGTGACATCAAGGCGTCACAAGTAGGAAAATTTCTTAAGACACCCCATAATCGCTTTAAGTTTTAAGTTTTAAACTTTTAAATTTTAATTCAGAAAAAGAATGTGCAGGTGGAGTACGCAATCTTGAAAGAATGTGAGTACGCAAAAGCAGGAGCCACAGAGTAAAAGTACCCACCCTTCACCTTTGAAGGGTGGGTTCACATCAATTTTATGTACCCACCCTTCACCTTTGAAGGGTGGGTTCAAATCACTTTTATGTACCCACCCTTCAAGCTTGTGTCCCAGAGCCATGAACACTACTGTGGGTTCAAATCACTAGTGCCTTAGCCCCTTAGGGATATTGTGGGCCAGATTAGAAGTACCCATGCTTCAAACTACTTTTGATCTGGCCCAGAATATATGCCTAAGCCTAAGGCAGTGGTCCTACTGCCATAAGCACCGGGCCGACAGTCCTGATCACCGCTCAGTAGCCCTCAGCACTGGGCCTGCTGTCTTAAGCACAACAGGCCCAACAGCTTCCAGTAGCAGTCCCACAGCCATGCACACCTCTCGGCGCACAGCCTGGAGCACAGGGCACACTGCTGCGAGCACTTGGCTGTAGCACTGAGCAACTTTTACACTATACCTCCCGTGCTGATCAACCTTAAACACTGGGCCCAGTGCTGAAAGCTTGGCCCAGCACTGAGCAACCTTACCGGGCCCAGTGCTCAAAGCCGAGCCCAGCACTGAGCAACCTTAAACACAGGGCCCAGTGGCTCGGCCCAGCACTGAGCAACCTTAAACACAGGGCCCAGTGGCTGGGCCCAGCACTGAGCAACCTTGAACATAGGGCCCAGTGCTCAAGGGGGGGGGCCAGTACTGAGCAACCTTAAACACTGGGCACACCACTGTGACCTTTCATCTGTAGCACTGGGCAACCTTAAACCGCAAGTGCACGGCCCCAGCCTTGCAGAAAGTTTTTGTCGCCACAAGCAAAACTCGGAGGGGCCGCGTGGCGTGGGGCGCCGTTGAAAAAAAAAATCGGTGGCCTCCGAAGTGGTGCAGGTTTTGAGCTGACACCCGCGGGCCTATGTGGTGTACTGGTGCTTTAAACACTAGGCTCAAGGCTCTCAAGGCTGGGCCCAGCACTAAGCCAGGTGGGCCCATCGCTGGGTCCAGCCTTTAGCACTGGGCCCAATCCAGTGAGCAGTCGTGAACCCTGGTTGCATAGCCTTGACCACTGGGCGATGCACGGCCTCGAGTGCTGGCCCTGCCACCTTGACCACTGCACTCATACCCATGACTCACGAGCACTGGTCACATACTCGCTAGTAGTCTAGCAACATTAGTTGATTCTTCAGAATGACACCAAAAGAGAGCACCTACCTCGTAAGCCACAATCTTCTCCAGCAAGGACGCTGGATCATCCCACGTTATTCTCCTCATCTCCACACACGCAGGGCTCAGCCACGTGCCAAGCATACCATGAAGGATTCCATCAAGCGTCCGCAGTGCTGGGTCATTTCTCTCTCTGCATCCACAAATCGCCCACATAGCACAGTCAATCAAAGTTCTGCCACCAGTCCACCTCCACTTCTCTACCTCTCTTTACCAGTCATCACCAAC